AGTTGGCAGTTAATTTGCATATCGCCCTGATTAGCCAATGAAAAGGGTAGCGGTCATACGCTAATTACCATGTTTCTCTTTTATTAGTGTAGATAGTAAATATTATGATAATAAATATTATTACTATATTTAGAATACTGTATATTTGAAATATCTTATGCTACAAATTACCATCTGTTAGTAATATTTTCTCATGTACTATTTTTACTACATCATTTCTTAGATAAGCAAGCAATCTTTTCCCCTATGACTTCTATTAATATGTAACTTAATATAGTAAAATTAACCCTTTTTATTGGATAGTCTTGTTAGTTTTGACAAATGCATGTAGTCATATAGCAATAGCCACAATGTAAATACAGAACAATTCCTTAATATCCAAATTTTCTTTATTTCTCTACTTAGTCAAACCCTCCCTCATCTCCAGCCCCTGGCAACCACAGAAATCTGATTTCTCTGTCTAGTTTTGTTTTCCCAGAAGGCCAAACCAAAGGCATCATATAGTATGTAGCCTTTTGAGACTAGCTTCTTTCACTTAGCATAGTGCATTTGAATTTCAGCCATGACTTTTGGTATATAGTAGTTTGCTCTTAAAAAAAATGCTGGGGAGTATTCCATTGTATGAATGAATAACAGTTTATCTGTCATATAATTGAGGGACATTTGGGTTGTTTCCAATTTGGGGTGATTATGAAAAAGCAGCTATGAATATTCTCAAGCGGACCTTTTTGCCATGTGACACAGCCCCCTCCCTGTTCAACCTTTCATTCTATTATGGCTATTTGCATAATTCAGAGTCTTTGTGCTTTGAAGAGCTTCTCATCCAAGCCACATGCTCCCCATTTTATTGTGACCTAACTCTATAGTTCTTATTGTAGTTGAGATTGATACCATTAATGCCTGTCCTCTTAGTACTTGAGACACTCATTCTAAAAGACATACAAAACAAAACCCGGCCCTCACCAGTTTGGCTCAGTGGATGGAGTGTCAGCCTGCAAACTGAAGGATCCTGGGTTCGATTCTAGTCAAGGGTACATGCCTGGGTTGCGGGCTCGATCCCCAGTAGGGGGCATGCAGGAGGCAGCCAATCAATGATTCTCTCTCATCATTGATGTTTCTATCTCTCTCTCCCTCTCTGTTCCTCTATGAAATCAATAAAAATATATTTTAAAAATAAATAAATAAAACATCATAGACAAGGCTAAAGTTCCCTTTGAAACCCATTCCTGGTTATTAATTTTATAAAACATTAAAAATTACTTTTAAAACATAGGTTACATAGCAAAGAACACACTTTTATTCTTGTCACAGTTTCTTTATATCATTGAATGTTGTTTTGTAATGTATGATCATTTTTATAAAGATTAATATGATGCCAAAGTAGTTTTAGAAGTAGATAAAATCCTTAGTATTTTTTTCTCCTGAAATAGATCACCATTGTCTTAGACTGACAAGTGGGCAATTGCTTATACCTTTTCCAGATAACTAAATTCTTGGATCATGATACAAGTCAAATTAATGAGAAACGTTGGTGTAAGAAGTAGTATGTCTTTGATTTTGAAATTTTTGAAATATTACAATGATCATTACTCCCTACTATTGTTAAAACATTTATAATGCATATTTGGGTACATTTTTGTTAAAAGATCAGTAGAGGTAATAGATCTCATCATTGGATCATTAGTGAAAAATGTCCTTTACATGTATAGAGATCCTGTTACTAAGCTCCTCTAGGCTGTTCATAGCAGTCTATTTTAGTGTTTTTCTAGGCCTTAGAATTTTCCCAGTAAAGGAAATATATTTTCTACTAAATATATCATAGGGGGAGCGGTTTGAAGGGGTAAATAGAAACAGATATACAAATAATTTAATTCAAATTATGTTCACCAGAAATATGTAAATATTTACATTCAGGGTTTTGGGGACTTAAACTTTTATTGTTTTAATTCACAACTTTATGATGATTGTTAGCTATGGCTGAGTTAAATACTCATGATTAATTTTTCCATTCATGTGTGTGAGTGTGTGTGTGTGTGTGTGAAATTTATGCCATTTTGAAATTCCTATCTTGGAACTTTCTTTTAGTTAATTAGCCATATTAGAAAATTAGGACCACTTGTCAGACTAATAGCTTCTTTTTTATTTTTTTAAAATTACACACACTTATTTGACAGATTTGGCTTCTACAGACTTTAAACTTCACAGAATTAAACACACAAAGACTTGGTACCACTAAGGATATTTAAAAAATATAACTACATGATCTCTGAAGGAATTCAATATGAGTTAAAAAATTAAAACAATGGTGTCTTCATTGGAATAGATGTAGAGCTCCTGAAGCAAATACAGTACTGTGATTAGCACAGCTTTAAAATATATATAAATCCTTGTAAGTATGTTTTAATTTATGTTTACAATTTTTGGGGTATTTGATGATAGACACACACACACACACACACACACACACACACATCCTCTCTCTCAATCTCTCTCTCTCTCTCACTCTCTCTCTCTCTAGAGCACAACTTTCCTTAAAAAACAATAATAAAAATAAAATAATACCTCACACTCTCTTAACACTTTCTAAAATACAACAAATTTTAGCTTTTAATTAAATGTACTGTGTCATAGCTCTCTCCATTTTCCAGAACTGCACTGTTATTATGGCAGCCACCAGCAACATGTGCCTATTTATAATTAAAGCATAGTGATTAATCACAAAAACAATATGTAATTATATATGTGTTTTCCGATGGTCATAGGCGACCCCTGTGAAAGGGTCGTTCGACCCCCAAAGGGGTCGCGACCCACAGGTTGAGAACCGCTGCTCTAGAGTCTAAGACATTGTATACTAGGTTTCAGCAGTTTCCCTCTGACTTACTTCTCTATTCAGGTTGCTTATTTCTGTTTTCCTTCAAGGAAAATACTTCTTTCTCAACAAAAGGAAAAAGTATATAGTGAATATTTTTATCTAAATATTTATTTCTAAAACTTTGTTAAAGTTTTACTGTTCAAGTTTCTTTGAAATACAGAAAAATATTTTTTAAAGCTTCAGAATAGCTTTGGCTGGGTGGGTCAGTTGGTTGGAGCATTGTCCCGGGGTTCGATCCCTGGTCAGGGCACATACCTAGATTTTGGGTTCAATCCCTGGTCTAGGTATATACGGGAGGCAACTGATCAATGTTTCTCACATCAATGTCTCTGTCTCTCTCTCTCTCACTAAAAAATCAGTAAATATATATCTTTGAGGATTAAAAACCAAAAAGCCTCAGAATATGCCTTGTCCCTGTGTAGCTTATTTTCTGAATGAACAGTTTGGCCATTAGAGGGCTTTGGACAAGGAGTGACATAATGTTTTTTTGATTTTGGAAAAGATGTCTGTAGTTTCCAGGTTAAGACTACACTGTACTCTAAGGAGACAAAAAAAGGTAGAAACAAGAAAACTGACTAGGAGGATATGAAAATATTTAAATGTAAAATATTTTAACATTATTTGACTATAGGTTTATCCTTAAGTTATTTTGTATTTATATTTTCATGTATTATTTCTAGTTTTACATGGTTTTATGAAGCATATTTACTCTTAAAACTTTCTCTTTTAGATATTATTTAATATTAAAGTCATTTGATAATTCAATATTTACTGTGTCACTGGTATGTTACGCAGACCTATAAACACTTTATAAAATTTGTGTTTTAGTTGATCCTGAAAACTTGTTTATTGGTCGCCACTTCATTATTGTACTTTCCACGATTGTCTTTACTCTGCCTTTGTCCTTGTACCGAGACATAGCAAAGCTTGGAAAGGTAATTTTTACATTTTAAGTTAGCACAGAAATGTACTTCCTAATTTGCATTAATTTTGTCCAACTGCTATCTGTATGGCTAAGTTCTTATTTACAGTATTTATCTTCAATTTCTTTTAGTTTAATTATAATTGTGCTAGAGTAAACTATGGTTGAATCTTTAGCTTACTTTTGGGAATGGGAGGTTAAATAGTTGATGAGTGTGAACTAAATATGCCTTTCCTTTTTATTTTTTTTTAATAATATATTTTTATTGATTTCAGAGAGGAAGGGAAAGGGAGAGAGAGATAGGAACATCAATGATGAGAGATAATCATTGTTTGGCTGCCTCCTGCACGCCCCCCAATGGGGATCAAGCCTGCAACTGAGGCATGGGCCCTGACTGGGAATCAAACCGTGACCTCCTGGTTCATAGGTTGACATTCAAACCCTGAGCCACGCCGGTCAGGCCCTTTTTCCTTTGTGAGGTAGATACTCTAACTGATGTCAGGCAGCCACCCTTTACATTTAGAAAGAACTATACTTAAACCAAGTTTAATTTCCAAAAAAGTTTTATTGTTTTTATAGACAGTAAGTTAATTTAAAAGTAAACAATTTAGAAATAGGGATGAATCACTTTATTGGCTTAAAATTTTGTTTATAAATTACAATGTCCATTGTGCCTATTTTTTCATTCATTGCATGTCAATGTGTTGATTAATTGTTGAGAATTTAGTCAATATTTATGATTTGTATTGCTAAAAACAAATGCTGATTTCTTTCTAATGAGACCAATCACATAATTATTCAATTTTCTGCATATGCCCATCAACATAGAGTAGTCTTTATCTGGTTATATTTTATTTCCTTACTGTCAAGGATGTTTGTATTTTACCCAAAATATTATTGATGCTGTATCTATACCAAGCATCGTAATGGACCATTTTTAAAAAGAATTATACATATATTTTTGTATTCTGTTTTGAAAAATCCAACAACTGATTGAATTTTACTTTTTACTGTGATGTTTGATGTGTGTCCACAGTTAAGAAGTCCCTCTTTTCAGGTAGAGTTGAGAATGGAAATGATATTCCAGAGCATTCTGACTATTTTGCCTGCCTTCCCTAACAGTCATCTGGAGATAAACAAGGGTATATCAAAGTGGGCTTTTTATGGTAAAATATCTGAAGTGGCTGAACTATTTTCCATTCACATGTTCAATGTAAACATAAATGTTGCCTTTACAGAGCAGAAGACAAGGAATTCATGAACAGAAGGCTGCTAATACTCTATCAGATTATTACCTGAACATCTTCTCCTAAATGCCCCTTCAAAGTGTCATATTGAAATATCTAAATAAATTTCCTAATGAGTAAAGCAGGGTAGTTAGAAGCCATGATCTGGAGTCAGGATACTTGCATTTGAGTTTCTCCTTTACCACTTTCTTGCTGTGTGACCTTGGGAATGTTACTTAATATTTCTGTTCCTCAGTAGAACAGAGGGCTCATAATAGAACTTTCCTTCTAGTTAAAAACTAACAACACAGAAAACAAGGTTCACAACCATTAAATGAAATGAAATAAAGTTTGTATTATATTTATCTTATCAGAGAAGAAAGTCTAAAATGTGTTTATCCATAAAAATTAAGAGATTAAACATAGATCTAATGTAATGAGTGTGTAGAACATATACATACACAGATCAGTTTATATTTTAACCAGTTGAAATAGTGACCAAAGAGAAAGGAAGAAGCAAAGAAGACTTAGAAATACAGACCAAATGGCAAGATCACAAAGGCAAACAACTAAAACTAGAGAACAAAAAGGAAACATCAAAGGCACCCCAAAAATGTGGGAGGGGATTGTTGGGTTGGAAGGGTGAGGGTAAGATAAAGACAAGCAGAAGGAGCAACTATAGATAGTAAAAAAGCATAAGTCAACACTAAAATAGGGCCTGAAGAAAAAAAAACATACTTTCACTTTCATAAAAGAAAATCTTCAGTTTTGTATTCTACACAGGAAGCCACTAAAATCAGGTAAAGCCATCTTGCAAGATTACAACAGTCATATCTGATACTTGCTCTCCTATTTAAGTGAATAAAAAACAAACAGACTATGATCTGATAAAAAAGTTATGTACTTGAAATTATCAACCCAATCTGTAAGAATAAACTACTAAATTATTGTATTTGAAACTGGGCATATATTTATTCAAGTAAAAAGAGAAACACCTAATACTTTCAATAAAATAATTCCTATACCAGCGATTTTCAACTTTTTTAATCTCATGGCAGACATAAACTAATTACTAAAATTCTGTGGCACACCAAAAAAATCTTATATATTTTTTTCTGATATGACAAAAGAAATAGGCATATTGATTCATTCACACCAGGTGGCTATTGTTGTGTTGGCTGTTGTCGTTTTTTTATTTGACAATCTAGGGGAAAAGAGGTGAGTGCCCCTGACTAAATAGTCGGGTATTGCATTTTTAAATATTAATGCGGCACACACACTGCTCTATGAAGCAACTAATGGTATCTTTACATTTTCTTTTGCAGATCTCTCTTATTTCCACAGTTTTAACAACTGTGATTCTTGGGATTGCAATGGCCAGGGTAATTTCATTGGGTCCACACATGTAAGTTTTGTTGCTATATTGATTGGTCTTTGATTTATGATCATCACATAGATATTTATTTGGCATAAATTCTGAAATGTAAAGTAATAGTGGTACCAGAAGCATCATTTTTCTTTCTTTATTATTTGCAAAAATGAGAGGAAATAATTACATGTAGGTAGGCATGCATGTTTACGTTGGACTCTGCATGGTTGATGAAAATGGTGAGAAATAGGATCTAGATAGAGCACTCAGGAGGAAAAGTGGTAGATAGAAATTTCTATATATACCTCAGAGATAGACTTGTTCTTAAATTTCATCAATCTAGGTTGAAATGAGAGGAATAAAGAATATTGTGGATGCTCTTGGCCATTAAACAAAATGTAGTCACATTGAAAGCCACCCTTTACTCTCTACTAAGATTATATTCTTTAATTATGTTATGTTAAAATGCTTTGTCATTTGTGAACTAATAGTGAGAGATGATAGTGGTATTTGTTTTTAATGTTAATAGTTGGCCAAATAAATGTTGGCAACTTGGTGTCAGTTTCCCAAATTTTATTTACTCACCCATGAAATTCAAAGTGTGGGTACTGCTGATCTAAACTGCACAGTTTTTATTATTTGGTTATAGAATAGATTCATCAGATAAGGACTGAGTAGTTCATATCCACAGTCCCACGAGAATGCTGGAATGAAACTAACTAAATTGGCTTTAAATGCAAAATTAGATTCCCATAATGCACAATAAGTATTTGTTGAATAAATAAATAATACATTATGGAGTTTCCATGAGACCTTAAGTATTTTCACTATCCCAAATAAGACAAAATGAAATTAATTTAAGACATAATGACAGGCTGGATCTTCAAAGAATGTGACCTGTGAGAGAGGGAAAAAAAGAAAGGCTGGTGAATAGCTACAATTAATAATGTAGTCTCCAATGTAGCTTACTTTTTTCTATTGATTAACTGTTCTTATGCAAAAATCACTTCATTTGTTACTCGATGCTGTCAGGTAAATACCAAAAATGATGCCTCAAATTTATTGGGAAGAAAATATGAATTATCTCATCTAACTGCATTTGATATGGCCTTTCCTTTGTAAAAACAAACACTTAAATTTTTAAAGACTTAAATAAAAGGGAAATGTGTAATTATCTATGATGTTTATATTAATGTTCTCTTCAAACAACTTAATCCCAGGTCATAATTGTATTAGTCAGCTTGGGTTGCTGGAACAAAATACTATAGGTGGGTGGCTTAAACAACAGACATTTATTTTCTCACTAAACGCCCTGTGCACAAAATTCATGCACTCGAGGGCGTGGGGGAGGTCCCTCAGCCCTGACTGCGCCCTCTAGCAGTCCGGAAGCACTCAGGGGATGCTGCAGAGGTGGGAGAGGCTCCTGCCACTGCCGCTGCGCTCGCCAGTCATGAGCCCAGCTCAGGGCTTATGGATGAGCAGTGCTCCCCCTATGGGAGCACGCTGACCATCAGAGGCAGCTCCTGCATTGAGCATCTGCCCCCTGGTGATCAGTGCGCATCATAGCGACCAGTCATTCCACTGTTTGGTCAATTTTCATATTAGCCTTTTATTATATAGGATAGTCTGGAGTCTGCCAGTGTGATTGGATTCTGGTGAGAAATCTCTTCCTGGTCTTCTTGCTGTGTCTTCATGTGGCAGAAAGCAAGCTCTCTGGTGTCTCCTCTTATAAGAGCACTGATCCCATCAAGAGTGCCCAGCCCTCATGGCCTCATCTAAACCTAATTATCTCCCAAAGTCCCCCTCTCCAGATACCATCTCACTGGAGGTTAGCACTTGAACATTGTTGGGGGAGACCATTCAGTCCATTACAATAGAGTTTTTGAAATGCACCTGGTTCATTTCAATGTGGCCACTTATTCTTTCATATAGTAAACTCAGAATGCCTATTGTTTCTGGCTATTTTGGTGTATGTGCCCTGAGAGAAAAAGAGCAGAGAGGCATAAATCAGCCCCTGCTACAAGTTGTTCACAATCAGTTATAGAGAAGGGACATATTTTTTTAAAAGAAAAAGAAATGACAGTATAATAAAAGGAGTGCAAAATAGAAGCATAAACAAGGGGTAGCAGCAGTGCCACAGAAGAGAGTGTTTAATAGTCTGTCTGAATCAGGGAGGGCTTCCTGGAAGAAGAGAAACATGATCTGCATGTTTTGAAGGAAGAATCTGAACTTTTCCAGGTAGATAAGGGTGTAAAAGGCAATACAGGCCCAGGAAAGGAAAGCATAAAAACCCAAAAGCATATATTAAATTCTACTGATATTTACTTAGCATCTATTATGTTGGTCTGTATTCAGTTCTGATTTTCAAAAATTGATTGCACAGCAACAAAGAGCTAAGAAATATATTGAACACAAAATTCAAGTAATAATTTTTGGCTTAATTTTTCAATTGTATAAGACAACTATTTTCATTGAAGGTTTTATTATGAAAAGTGATTCTAAAGAATAAATCAGTCGGTTATAATAAAAGGTCTTATAGATTTGGTATAGCACTATGTTACAATATTGAGGAGGAAAAACAAGTCCTTAAAAATTGAAGGAAAATAAATTATTCATTAATTGACCTTCAGGAAAACCATTTAAAGCAATGATTTTTCAACTCTGGCTTCTCATTAGAATTACCTGAGCTGAGCAGCTTTTCAAAATACTGATGTCAGATCCCTATCTGCAGATATTCTGAGGGATCTGCATAGTGACCAGGCGATTGGGTTCATTATTTAACAGTTATGAATCTGTGAACAAGGATATAGAGCCCCTTGGTTTAAAGAGATTAAAATTGTGAGTACACTTTTAACTGATGCATCATTTCTAAAAATAGATGGGAGATTTTATGTTATTTTAGTTACTCTTTTGTCATTATTTTTCAGGATTCATTTTCCACTTTTTTCTTAGTATCTTTTATATACAAAATGTTAATGTGAGACACTATTTTGAATACAAAGAGAAGTAAAATATCTCACAAATGATCATCATAAAGGCAGCATATCTCAATACAAAGGAAGAGAAAGGAGAAGACACTTCCTGGTTGGGCTTAATGAATTGATTTTATGGCCACAGAGCTATTTATTTCTGTCGTAACCACAATGAGTCCTGCATCTTTCTAAGCTTCCTCTAGTGGTGATGTCTTATTTTATCTGAGCCTTTGAAATTTTCCTAATAACAGTGGTTATTTACTTCACTCTTTCAATATTTAGATGTTAAAGAAGTGTGTTTCCTAATACTGTGCCGCCTTCTATTTCTGTTTGAATACTACTGCAAACAACTTCTATTTGTCCAGATTTACAATCAGGCTAATCAAATCCCATGTTCAGGGGTTGGCATAGCAGCTAGCCAGGCAGGCTTCTTTCTGAAAATATGACAGCCACAAATGCTCATAATCCATAAAACATGAGAAATTCAGTACTCCAATGTGTTTTTCCTCATTCTTGGTTCAGATGAATGATCAGAAAAACTATATTTTTTCATAGGGCTTTTAAATTGGTATTTGAAAGATTTTTAAACCCACTATCAGAAAGGAGGAAGGTCTGTAATGGCTACTGGTATTGACCTTGTTACTATGGAAACACCTTTTTAGTGGTTGTGTTTTAAAAATAAAACACAGTTCAATTTCCTTTTTCATAACTCAGAGGGCCATAAGTTCTGCTTTTTGATATGATGTCAAATAGTTCACAGTCCAACGACTTTCAGTTCTTTTTGGAAATAATGGTCAGTTTATTGTATTTTCAAACCTTTTGTTTTCGAAAAACTGAGGCAGCAAAGCAATTTAATTGCTTTCTAGAAAGTGTGCTAGTATGAAAATGCAATAGCACAGTCCTCCCATTATTTTTTAAACTAGGATCAGAGACATCATTGCTATGAAAACCTTCATTCTGTGCTTTGTTAATATTCAATTCTTTATATTTAAAATAGAAATGATAGTATGCAGTCCATATTTACAGCGATTTTCTCTTCATGTGGCATCTCTTTTACAGCATTTTAAACAATAGTGTGTGGTTGGTGTTCCAAATATAATTCCAAAAGTGCAGCTACACTTTCCCCAGTAATTTATGTACATAAAATGTGCCTTCCCCAAGGACCTCAACACATATTAGTTCCTCTACCCCTTATCCATTCTAATCCTGAAATTCTACAATATAATCCTATACATAAAAAGGAATAAAGGGAATTAAAGAAAGGATCAGAAAAAAATGTGTTAAGATAGAGGAACAGTGCATATTTGAAAAAATGGAATAATTAGTTTTGTTAAATGGAATGTTTTGATAATGTATATATTATTGTTCTTTTTGTTGCCAATGACAACAACCACAGGACCCTAACTGAATGAAGCAAAGGGAATTTATTGCTCACATTACTGTAAAGTTCAAGTTCAAGGGTAGTTCTGTTATGAGATTTGGTTGAATTTAGGAGCTCAGTCAATGAAATCAGGCATAATTTATCTCTTTTTTTTTAATCTCTTGGCTTCACTTCCTGTTATGTCTCTAGTTTCTGTCAGGCTTTATCTTTATCGTGACAAGATGGCAGCAGCAGTCTCAGCCTACATCCATTCAAGTTCAAGTCCATATAAAAAGAAAGAGCTTTGTTTTATAAATTATCTCCAACTTTACTTCCAGTGTCAGTTCTGATTGGCTCTGCTGAGGACCTGTGACACTCACAAACCCTATCATCATGGCCTCTTTGAGTTGCTCATGTTTAGATTACTTGATTACCCTCCATGCTAAGGATAAGGTCAACCAAACTAAAGCACATGGACTCAGAGTGGGGGGAGGATGATCCCAAAGGAAACCAAGGCAATGATGCCAGGAGCAGACACTGCCTGATGCAAACCACAGGTTTCTACTGCAGGTGACAGGAAGTTACCGGTAACCTTCCAGAGATTCAATCAAATAATATGGGTAGAAGCCAGGTGAGAGAGAATTAAGATGAAAGCAAAATGATAGGAAAGTACATTTTGCAAATCCTCTCCCTCCTCCTTCTTA